CTTTGGTCATTTTAAATCCGGATTATAATTGCATGTATAGTGTGATCGGCGTGACGAGTTTCGGAAAACTTTGCGGTTCCATTACTCCCGGTGTATACACTCGCGTTTACAATTATGTTTCATGGATAGAGAATATAGTTTGGCCATAACTTTGATGTGCACGTAAAATAAACATATTTTTAAGATACCTTGTTGTCTTGTATTTTATTGTCCTGATCTCGAAGAAATCTCACCGTATATTTAAAGAGAAAATTTCTGACAATATTCGGCATCGATTTCTAGACGCGCACGCGCCAGCCGGTACATTTTACCTATATGTAGTTTTCGTTACACGGTTAACGCGTTCATACAGGGACAAAGTATATTCGGCGATCATCTATTTTCGTTTATCCAGAGTCTCAAACCGATTGCGGCCGAGGTAAGGATCCTTACTTCACAGACTCGTGACATAATGCAGCTGTACATAAAATAGACAAAAGGTTCTATACACAATGTGAACATATACTATCAAGATCAAAAACTAATCATCCTTTGTATCGTACAATCTGAATGTAAAAGACACCAGCACTATCTGTCCCAAGGGAAAGTCTCAACAACTCATAATTTAAAGCTTATCATATTCTCTGACACCCATACAAACACAAGACACGTAAAAAATGTATAAAACATATAAATTTTGTTCTACACCATAAAATGGACTGTACTCAATTAGGTATGTGGTATCGATATGTTCTAAATTCATAATTGTAATAAATTTAAATGTTGCATATAAGTTCCCGAATATAGAAGTGATGAAAGTATTATATACGTAGCACAGTAATTCAATGTCGGCTATCCTCGATGCATGTGGAAATGATACCGGTTCTCCCTCAATATCGAAGGCCGAGGATAATCTATCCAACAGCGACGGACCGTTGATTAAGAGCTGTGTTCGTCGAAATAGTTGCAGTAGCGTTCGTACAAGGTAAAATGAATTCTAGTAATTCTAGTAATTTAATTCATGATATTTTTAACGTTAACGACAACCCTTTCAGCTCTGAAAACGTTAATAGAACAACAATCGTGTCATCCCACACAATGTCGGCATTTAACGAGAAGTCAACAAAACGACGCTACTGTCTCTGGACGTTAACCTTCATTCTGGCGATAATAGGTCTCTGTAATTTGCTGCTCAACATCACCGTGATCGCCGTGTTACGCATCAGTCAAGGAATGGAGGCAATGGAAGTGATACCAGACGAGAATCTTGTGAAATTTTATGGGAAAACTGACTTGGACAGGGTTAGCTACTTGAATATCCAAGAAATATACTTTTACATTTATAAGTAACGAAATGTGTATTTACAGGTGTGTTTACAGTCTGGAGTTTGTCAGAGTTACGGTGACGAATCAATGGAAATCGCTGGCGACGAAGCTGGTGTGCAGATAGACGTGAACAGTCATCGATTACATGATGAGACACGCGCGAAAGTGATGATTTTACCAAACGGTACTACAATGTCGAAAATAGAGTCTTTCGAGATAAAAGATCCCAAAACTGGGACTATTTATTTTACAACCGATTTTCCGAATTTCGGTTTACCTGCAGGCGTGAAGAAAATTGACGTTAAAATCGCAGAAACGCACAGAATCACGTCACCGGTTAATGAAAGTCTCACTGTGAATTCTGACGATCAGATTTCTATGCAGGGTGCAGAAGGTGCTAGCATGGAAAGCAAGGATATTGTTTGGAGCGCAAATACTGATATTTTCTTGAAAAGCATAAACGGAAGTATCGTTCTTGATGCGGAAGATGGTGTATCCATCAACATCAAGAATATACCAGTTGCACCGATGTTCCTGCAAAATCCAACCGGTCACGAACAGTACAAAGTTTGCATTTGCATGCCCCAAGGGAAACTCTTCAAAGTGCCAGTTCGTACGGGTGCTAGCAGTCGATCGGTGAATTGTGCTCGCATCAGTCGAACTCCGGAGAATGATCCTTGCTTACGATAGGATCAACAAAATGTTGGACATTTTATTGCAATTTTATGAACATATCCAACACTGCCAAGTGTAAAGAACTGAAAAAGGCAAGACTTGGTTTATTATTCGAATTATCGAATATTAGTAAATTATTTAAAAAAAAAATTAAGGAAATTATAAATTTCTGTATGAATCAATTTGGAAAAAATCATAGAAACTTGAGGCATATATTATACCAATGTATATTATACAGATGTAATTCGGATTTTATTCGAGATATAAAGATGAACAAGATCACGACTTTCAGACCTATGAACATCGCGTACAATTCCACACACACAATTACATCACGTAAAAACATCGGCACTAATTACGTTACTGTTAATAGAAAATCATTGTCATTGAAATTCGTATGCAATACTGAATACAGTAACTTTTGTATCGAATAATTAATATTACAAATAAATTTTCATTATGGTAAATGGTACAGAATTCTTGTCCTTTCATAGCAAGAACATTGAAAATAAATTGATATAATTATATTAAATAAAAAATTAAGCACTCTCTGTTATCATCTCTTCATTGCTCTCTTCCATATCCTCTTGTTGTTCTTGTTCTGTGGGAGGTTCATATGCTTTGTCTAAGGGACTAGCAACCACCCCACCTGCCCATACACTCATTTCTACTGCAAGTTTATTGGTACCCTCCAGTAGTGGTCTATAGCCTCCATGGGCCAAGACACGCAACAGTGTTTGAGCTGTGAGACATACCAAATCTTGTTGTTCTAATGTCATAGCTGTATGTACACGGATATTTCCACCCTCACATGGATCAGAAATACCTGAATAAAATTGTGACAAAATATAATATATTTACCACATAAATTTTATTTCACTAAAATTTGATAAATCTTACCAGCAGATCCTGGTAAGAAAAGTCCAGAAGCAAGTAATTGGAGAACTCTTTTATATGCTTGATTTATTGGAAGTGCTTGTCTACTGGGATTATTCATTATGGCATTATGTGCTAACAAATCCAGCATCCAAGGTGATAATGGTTCTAAACCTTCAAATCTACTTCTCAAATCTCTAAGCAATCTTATTAAAACTTTTATACTGGAATGATGAGCATTTTCTTCAAACCATCTGGAATGTCTAATTGCAGCAAGATGGCCTTGGCATATTTTTACATCTAAATGTTGATCAGACTCTAATTTTCTTAAATTCTGATGTAAAGTGGTTATTAGTACACGCACTGTAGCTTCATTATTAGCAATATCAAAACCACGTTCTGTGTGAGTGAGTCTGAAAATTTCCTTAGGATTAACACTTTTTAAATCATTGTTAACTTTTGTTCCAAGTGCTTCCACTGCTGTTTTTGTAGGTAATGTCTTAAGAATTACAACAATGTCAGCTACATTGTGACCTTTGATCATTGTTCCTTTCTTAAAGCTTCCTACTTGCCTTACTTCCTCCAATTGCTGCAAAAAATAATTGTCATTAGATAAATAGAAAATATTATACATATAATTGAATGAGGAATTAGATACTTACACAAGCTTCAAAACTACCAGGAGCAACAATTAAGTTATCAAGTACACTTTGTAGCTTAGTTACAAGATTTAAAATAGAAGTTTGTTCTTTTGGTGTAGGACACATATCTGAGTTCTTTTTTAAAAGTGCCATTTGAAAATCTGACTCATCTGGGGCAGTTTTAACACGTGGAAATGCAGCTTCACACAACGTGTAGTCAAAAGGGTGACGTGGAAGGAATTGTTTCCTTGGAAATCCCATTCCACGTCCCATACCACCTCGAACTCCTCTAATCATTCCACCTCGTCCACCTCGTACCATATTACGTCTATAAAGTATTCAAAAGTATTATAGAAACAGTTATAGTGTATTAACAATTTTAAAATTTTAAAATTACTTTCTATGCTGAATAGAGTTGCTTAGATCATTTACAAATCTAATAAAAAATACATTAATATGATACTAGTAATAATATTTAAATAGATGAAATATTTAAGAAAAAGCTAACCAAAAACACTTTTCGGCGGCATCATTAATAATCGTTGAAGATAATTATCTAAGGCTCAAGTACTTAGAATAGAAAAATGTTAAACTCACCAAAAAATAGAAAATATGTTTAAAATGATATTATTTCACAATTTTTATCAATAAATTTTTAATTTTTCCCTTACACTACCACAAGCACTTTCAATAGCAGCACCCAAGCAACATCAGTATATTAGAATTTTCATTAAGAACTTAGTCAACTAAGATGATCTACCGCAATATTACAGAAACTTATCTTAGCGCCACCTAGCTGCGATTATTTTTATTTTTGCCAATATACATATTTTTAAAATTAAAATTACCAATAAATAAATAAAATATCATAAAGTTATTACCGCAACAAAAATGGTAAAAATGTTGTAAAAAGATTCTAAATGTAATGAATGCTAAGAATTGTATATGCAACATAGTTGAATTTGGTAGAAAAGAAAATCAGATTTATTTAATGACAAAACTTGCTTAATATATTTCATTTTACGCAAAAATTGTTGTTTTTTGTATATTAATGCCTTTTATATTTTCTACAACATTTCTAAACAATTATCGAATGCAGCTTTAATAGTTATAAAACATTGTTTACTTACATTTAATAATGGCAATGAAATTTGTTATAATGTGTGTAATACATAAAATAAACTTAAAAAGTTATACATATACTCAAATTTATATTAACTATGAGGAGATTTCAAGTACATGTACAATATGTAATTTATAACTGTAGCCATATTCATTCTACTAAACATCAAACCAACATTCATTTAAACATCCATTACACAAACCATAAATTTACAAGTATAATAGTAACATAACTTAAATAGCAATGGAAAAGTAAACACCATAGTTTTTCATTACTGTTATCCTTTGCTTCATTCGGCCAGAATGTCTAAAGCTTCCTTAAAAACCAAACCATCCAACACACGATCTGGATCACAGCATAAGAGGTACATAGATAACATTTCTAATATAAATGTCAATATTTTAGTATTAATTTTTACATAATAGGAAACAGCAAGAGCAGGAGAAGATCCTAAAACCTTTTGACTTCTGCTGTTCACTTGATAATATTGATTCATTAACAAAATATGATAGACTTAAGACACATTTCAAACATTCATTGACTTCTGTACATGCAATAAATGAGAGTCCAACTTTAAAATTACGGACACAATTTACTGGAAATGTAGATCCTGAAATAAGGAAAAGAAATCCTAAAAGAAGCCAGTTTGAAACTGGAGATTATAAGCATAAAAATTATATGAATTCAAGATATAGATCTCAATTGAGTAGTTCACATGTTTCTGAAAATTTATATACCAAAAGGACGGATAATAAGCTTCAAGGACCATTGGGCTGGTATTTGGAAAATGAAACTGCAACAGGAAAAAACAAACTATGGAATAGAAAGCAAAAAGCATATAATGAAGAAATGGATAGAAATACTGAAATTGGGAAGAAAAAAAGTAAAGATGCTTATATTAATTTGCTTAACATTTTTACAATTTTATTACTGTAATAAAATTTATAAAATTCATGATTGTTTTTACAGTACAATCTGAAATACAATATCAAGTAAATATGTATCCACGGTGGTATCAAGATTTTTCTATTAAACAAGTATAATATTAAT